AACAACAGCGAACCATCACATAAACCGCCCATTCCTCTGACCAGCACCAGAAGAAACTCACTCCATGATGGCCCTGTAGATCCTGTCCACGCGGAAGCATCTCAAAAGGACCAGCTTCTGGAAGGAGGTCAGTGTCTTGTCGTAGCCAGCAGGGAGCTCGGTCGCCTCTGGCATGTCCAGGTCATACCACTGGTGGAGAAACACAAGGAACGAACGTTTTCTTAAATGGTCGCTTTTAAGCACAAGGGGCTATCCCGAAATATGCTGTTTTGAGAAAATCGAAAGTAAAGTTTTTGCCCCTTGTTCAGTTTCTTTAAAAGACAAGGAGAGTTTTCTCTATAACCAATGTTCAATATTAACACCAATGAAATTAAAATTCTCCTACAGGTTGGACAATGCCCTCTTTAGTGTAGGTCAAGATTTCTGGAAACCCCCGAAATCTGGGTTAGCCCGCTTGTCCTTTAAAGCGACATATTATGTTCTTGCTTGAGTAAGCGTTTTACGGCACTTGCTTGTTTGTTTTAGTAAGGTTTTACGGCGCTCACAACTGCTTAATAAAGTCATATGAGCGCCAAGGGGTGGATGTCAACAGAGGAGTTAAAACGGGGAATCAGGCTTTCTCTGCTCACCTCTCTAAACTCAACAACACAAAGTCTGTTTCGACTATCAAGGCACCCCGGAAATCGCAGTTCACAATAGAATGACAAATATACAAAAGAAGTAGAGGGAAAAATGGCGATAGTAAGGCTTCCGTTTCACAAGCAGCGTGCTCTGTTTACACAAAGACTTGACCATCGATTCTTTTTTTGCCCATTCATTGAACGGTTACCTAGCTAGTTCATAACAACAGAGATAGTACATAACAAGATGGTTCACTCGGCCAAAAAAAGTGTCCACGGAAGTCCGCTTATTGCTTCAGATGGCGCTGCAGTCTTTGTTCCGAAGCTGTCTTTCGTTTCTCCAGAAGAAGAACGGGAATAGCACCCCTTTGCGCGCGCAGATCAACTGCTGTTCTTCAGCTGTTCGGGTTTAGGGTTTAAAAAACTCTTAATGACCCCTCGCCTCTCACTCTAAAGTCAAATTAAACGAAGAAAACAGTCGCCTCTTCCCACCGGAAGAGTTTTTTTTTTTTTAATCAGCGCAAATATTTTTAAAAAGTGTTCTTCCGAAATTTGAATTCTAATTTATCAAAAAACTTGTTAGTTCCACTTTGATGTTTTCCACACAAGTAGGGTAACTCTGTTCGCAAAGCGGGCGCTTTTTCGAAGAGGGCGCCACCGGATTTGATGACGCTTTATAAATTTGTTCAAAGAGAGGAGTGGTTTGCTTCTTCTTTCCTATCAAACATATATAGTCATTATCTCCCCTTCATCTTTTTTATGTTTGTTACTCTCTTGTAACACCTCTAATCTTCTGGCGCTCGTATGACCTTATGCAGTTGCGAGCGCCGAAAAACCTCTACTAAACTAAAACTAAACTCAAAGAGAGGAGTGAACTATCTTGCTATGTACTATCTTGTGAACTATCTTGTTATGTGCTATCTCGTGAACTATCTTGCTATGTACTATCCTGTGAACTATCTTGCTATGTACTATCTTTGATAATAATCAGAACAAAAGTACTGTCTCCCACCTCCTTCCAAGCCGTCTCCTTGGTGGCTATGTCCGTGAGTAGCGTGGAGAACTGGTCTGGGAAGTCAGCGGCTAGCCTGCTACAGTCCTCCCACGACACGTCAGGGATCCACGAGAACGGTTTTTCGACCTCGCTCTTCTGGAGGGATGTGTTCCCCTGTGGTCGGGAGGGGGGGGGGAAGTCATGATCAGGATCTTGTTTCGTAACCAAGAGAATAACATTGGAGTGAATGTTCCAGAACTGTGAAAAGCCTCTTAGTAAAGCCTCTTGGATTCAACAACAACAAAAAAACAACAAAAAACAACCCCCCCCCAAACAAAACAACAACAACAACAA